CGCTATCGCCTATGAGTCTGTGCAGGGGGATGGTGCCGAGGAGGGGGCGGCTGAGCCCAAGAGACCCAAGTGGGAGCCAAGGAACTGGCGGCAGCAGCTGGAGCGTATCCGGGAAATGAGGAGCAGCAGAGATGCTCCCGTGGATCACATGGGAGTGGATAAGTGTTATGACAGCAGCGCACCTCCGCAGGTAATACCCTGTTGCTCTGCTCAGCGGAGAGGCACGTGAAAATACAGCCCTGCTTTTGCAGCCCTCTGGCCTCCTGCATGCTCATCAGCACAGCCCGTTCTGCACTTCTAGAAGGTGGCAGAGATGTTGCTCATGGTTATGGCCCAGTCTAGGTATCTCCAGAACAGAAAAAAAATGTGCGAGGCATATCAGAACTCTCTGCTGGGATCAGTCCAATGAGAGGCTGCTGCACAAGCAGGTGTATAAGAGAAACAGTTTATCCTGCTGGAGCAGGAGAGTTGGCAGCTCCCTCTCCTATACCTGGCTCATTGGTTAAAGGGAGTCCTTATGGAATGGCAGTGGGTGTTTTCTGAGTTGTTCTCCACTCACATTCAGCCCGTGCTTGGTATTACAGGCTGACTAGCAAACACAGCTGTGAAAAGTCCTTGTCCTCTGCTTAAACTGCTGTCGGAAGAATTATCAGGATGAACCAAGAGTAGGAGCTGAGGCAAAAATAATATGATTTTTGGGCTTGGAGTGAAAATGTATTGTGGCAGTACTGCCTTTTGGTGAAGAGCGTGAAGGCATGTCCTTTTTTTCTTAAAAAATCTCTGTAGGCGTCCCAGGAAAACATGCAGCAAGATGGCTCTGTAATACAGAGGGAAAACAGAGCACAGAGAGAAAGCGAGGGCAGCTCAGGGAAACTTTCCAGGCTGCCTTTATACTCTTCAGAATAGCACAGAACCATAGATTGGCTTCCTCCCCTCTCGTGGTTCACTTTTAAGGGGATGCTAGTTGAAAGGAAGGGCCATGCTGGGGATAGCGCTGTGCTCCCTGAGCCTGGCAACAAAATCAAAGGCCCCAAATGACACCACCCTTCAAGGGGAGCATTTTCATCAGTACAAAAAACAAAGCAGAGCCGGGCTGTGGCGCAGTGCTGGGACTCGAGGCTGTAGGGCTGTGCTTTCCATTCACATTGTGCGTGTGGGAAGGTGGAGATAACCAGCAGGCAGACTCGGCGGAGCAGCGTGAGCTGTGTACTCCACACCGACCTGCAGGCTCGAAGGGAGGGATCTTCAAGACACAGCTGCACAGCTTTGTTGCGTGTAATGCTCTCCCTGTTGCTGGGGCTGTGTCTGGGGCTTGGATCCCCGGTGAGAATGGTCAGCTTTGACTGCAGCTTCAGACAGCGTGTGATGCTCTGCAAACACGTGGGCCAGCACCAACTGCTGCAGCGGGGCCAGGGGGAACGACAATACAAGATTAGGAAATAACTCTTTTCCCTAAGGAAGCAGGGCTGTTCCTTCCACGATAAAGTAGATATTGTAACCCTCAGTACAGCACTAACACTCTTCACACAGCTGCCATGCTCTTAGATTTTTTCCTGGTGTGCCTCTAGTTTGTAATCTTTGCTTGCAAGGAGGCTTGGAGGAAGGATTGTAACCCACGTTATCCTGCACCAATCCCAGTTAGCTACACCATCCTCCTGGTACTGGTGGAGACAGGTGGGACCATAGGGCAGAATCACATCTGGGAAAAAAAACAACTGAGAAACAACAGATGAATGATCTGGGCCAAACTCTGCATGATTTCATCAGAGGAACCTCGCTGGTTGCTGTGTGCCATTTTCCTGACCTCTTCTTGTTATCCCAGTTCTTTAGGATGGGTTCGCTGAGGAGATCTTTAGAGTTAGATGCTCAGCTCCTACTGAAGTTTAGTGGAAAAGGGACAGGATTTTCAGCAGCTACCGGAGAGCACAAGTTGCATGAAAAGTTGATGGGCTTTTGCACTTTGACTTCTATGAAATCTCCTGAGAGTACCATCATCAGGAAAGATTTTGTCTGGCCCTCTGTGGCTAAGCACTGAAGTCTTTGCATACGAGATCCCACTAGACAGTAGCTGCTCTCTGCCTTTCACACATGCTGATTGCTTAGGTTTGAAGTGTTTCTTCTCTCCCTTTTTATGTGGTGGGGAAGTAAAAGGTTATGGATGATATCTGTTGCTGCCTTGCCGTCTCTTATGGGTGGATATGGCTGAACCAGGGTAGCTCCATACCATGTACTGGCATGTAGATGCCTCTGAGTTGGAGAACCCAGCCCAAAAGTTGGCAGGATCCTCTCAGAGCCCTTTGGGTGTCTCACTGTCTCCCCTTCCCCCAGGTTATGCGCTACCAGGTTCTGCTGTCGCTGATGCTGTCCAGCCAGACTAAGGACGAGGTGACATCAGCAGCCATGCTGCGCCTGAGGCAACGTGGGCTCACAGTCGACAGTATTTTGCAGATGGACGATGTGACGCTTGGGCAGATCATTTATCCTGTAGGGTTCTGGAGGGTGAGTGCAGGATTGCAGCAGCGCCTGACGTTCACGTAGAGGAATCCCCTCCGCCTTCTTCTGCTCTCATACAGCTGTCCGAGACATCTCAGAGGCCCAGGGTGGGATGGCAAGGCGAGTGCTGGCTAAGCCTTCGCAGGCTGTGTGTCATGGTCAGTAGCTGTGCTGCAGGCAGGTGGTGAAGGCAGAAGGTGGGTGTGAATCTGCCCTGCTCCTGAGAGACATGTCCCCAGTCTGCATTCAGCCTGTGTTTATGGTGGTGGTTTCACACCCCTTGGTGATCTTTCCCCTGGAACACTGTGTTTTACGCTAAGCTCGGCAATTTGTATCCACGGCAGGATTGTTTGCTGCAGTGCCTTGAACGTGCAGAGGAGGTTAGAGCTAATCATGTTTCAGCATTTTGCTTTCAAGGCGAAAGCCAAGACCTCTGTCTCCCCTCTGCAAACTCAAGTGCGTGGCCTCACATGTAACGTACGCTCAGGAATGGGTTGTTTTCTGAGCCATTTTTCTTTTTTCCCCTGAATTGGAGGGGAACTAGGATTTTCTGCCTTTTTATTTTTTTCAGAACAAGGTGAAGTATATAAAACAGACGACAGCCATCCTGAAGCAGAAGTATGGTGGCGACATACCAAGTACCGTGGAGGAGCTGGTGATGCTGCCAGGAGTTGGGCCCAAAATGGCCCACTTGGCTATGCACATTGCTTGGAACAGTGTGTCCGGGATAAGTAGGTTGGACCATGTTTAAACAAATCAAATTTGGGATTTTATTGGGCAAGCTGTAAGAGGGCAGAAGCAGAGCGAAGTTGCCCGTGGCAATCATCTGAAATTGGTAGTTCGTGATGAGTGGTGGAAGGACTTGTTTTCAGGCAGTCCGTGGCTACTTTCTGATCTCTTTTAGTTTCTATGGCTGGACGCTTAGCTGGGTAGTAGGCTTGTGACAACGGGTGCGTTTGTTTCTTTGACGTGTTTCTTGAACTGAGAGCATAGCGAGGGCTTAGCTGTACCCCCTGTGCAACTGTGTGCTTTAGCCACGGGAGTCTGGGAGGAAGTCTGTGGTGGAGGTGGGCCTGGGACGGACCGAGGCCAGCTTCGTTTCTGTACAATGTTTGTTTTGAAAGCGCAGATGGGAACGTGGCTGCCGAGCTGCCCGCAGCAGCCAGCAGATGGGGCTGGAAGATTGGTTGCAATGCTGCGGAGGGACGCGCAGCCTGGGGGCCTCTGGGGACAGATTAATATTCTAAGTGTATTTGCTGCTTAATGGAGAAGCCCTGGGAAAGCT